TTTCTGGGTGCGGGCCCGCTGAGGCCTGTGCCTCTGCTCCCCCAACCCCAGTGCTGAGGCGGGGCTTGGGTTTCTGGGTGCGGCCCCCCTGCGGCCTGTGTCTCTGCTCCTTCATCCCCCCAGCAGCGCTGACCAAGCAGGCCCAGAGGCCCTCCACCAGCGGGTTGAGGCAGAACGCCTGAGTCCTCACCAGGCTTCGCTCTGCCACTTGGAGCCTAAGTATGCAAATTTGCCGCCATCTTGGCTGACAGTTAATTTGCATATCTCGCTGATTAGCCAATGAAAAGGGTAGCGGTCGAACACCAATTACCATGTTTCTCTTTTATTAGTGTAGATGGGAGATGGTGACTTAACCACTAAACGACGTACATCGAGTCCTACGTAACCCGGGGACTGTCTTTATAAAGAAATAAAGTTTTTCCTTCCAAAGATAACCAATGTTAACAATTGCAAGTTAGCATTACACATTGGGAGGGGAGGAGAAGGGAGCATAAACATACACCTATAATACTCTTTGTTCTGCTTTTCTTTGTTTAATTTTTTTTTAAGATTTTTTTCATGTCAAGACATAAAATTGTTCCATTTGACCTACTGAGTAATTTTCCTACTGTGACATCAGTTGATTCAAAACTTAATGCACTGAATGTATTTAAATGCTATTGAACTGTACACTTAAAAAATAGTTAAGATGGTAGATTTTATGTTATACTAGAGGCCCAGTGCATGAAATTCATGCACAGGTAGGGTCCCTAGCGGCTGCCAGCCGGGACCTCCCTTCGCACCCACCTTAGCCTTGTGCTGCCTGCTCACCTGCTCCACCATCCCACCATGGTCCCACTCTTCGGTCCTACTCTTCGGGGCCCATCGGAGCCGGCAGTGCCTCCACTGCCCCCCGCTGCCAGTGCCACATTGCTGCCACCCACCATGTTCGCACCACCCCCTGGTGGTCAGCACATGTGTAACTCGCAGTTAGTCAAACTCCTGCAGTAGGGACAATTTGCATATTAGCCTTCTATTATGTAGGATGTGTTTTAATGGGAAATGCAAACAAAAAAACATAACTTAATTGTATTAACAGGGTATATTAAGTACTTCTGTACATTGAAGTTATTATTTCTCCGTTGTAGGTATCCAGTCGGTTCGCTGCTACTCCCATGGGTCACATGAGACAGATGAGGAATTTGATGCTCGCTGGGTGACATACTTCAACAAGCCAGATATTGATGCCTGGGAATTGCGTAAAGGTAATTATAATATAGATTGCTAAACAGTCTATTTTGACATAGAATTATGAACTGTTTTGTAGTCTTCTACTACTGTGTTAAAAGCAAAACATGCTTCATGTTAACCAAGTCCTCTCATGCAACTTGCAGTTAGAAAATATTATAGCCCTAACTGGTTTGGCTCAGTGGATAGAGTATTGGCCTGTGGACTGAAGGGTCCCTGGTTTGATTCCGGTCAAGGGCATATGCCCAGGTTGCGGGCTTGATCCCCAGTTAGGGGGCATGCAGGAGGCAGCTGATCAATGATTCTATTTCATCATTGACGTTTCTATCTCTCTCTCCCTCTCCCTTTCTCTCCAAAATCAATAAAAATATATTTTAAAAAAAGAAAAGAAAATAGTATAGCTTCCATAGTGTTTCCTGTAAAGCAAGGTTTTAAAGCAGGCATAATGGTATTTAGGGCCAAATAATTGTTTGTTGCAAGGGCTGTCCTTTGCCTTGTAACATGTTTAGCAGCATCCTTGGCTTCTGCCCACTAGGTGCCATCCACCCCCATGCCCTCCACCCCCAGTTATGACAACCAAATATGTTTCCTGGGGGACAAAATCACCTCTGATTGAAACCACTGCTATAATGTCAAGGTGAGCAAGAGTTAAATTTTGTATCTTTTAGATAATTTATACAAGTAGTTATTTGGTTCTTCTCCCCTCTTATAGTTTTGGTTTTTTGTTACTTTTATTCTCTGTTATGATTTGTCTTGCCCTGAATAAGTGTCCAGTCTAAATAAGCTAGAACTTATTTTTCCTAAATTTGCAGATGTGCATTTAACATGAGTAAGTAGCATTAATGATAACTAATCTTTCTTTTTCTTTTTTTTAAAATATATTTCTTTATTGATTTCAGAGAGGAAGGGAGAGGGAGAGAGAGAGAAAAAAAAAACATCAGTGATGAGATAGAATCACCGATCGGCTGCCTCCTACATGCCCCCACACTGGGGATCGAGCCCGTAACCCAGGCATGTGCCCTTGGCCAGAGTCGAACCCGGGACCCTTCAGTCCGCAGGCTGATGCTCCATCCACTGAGCCAAACTAGCTAGGGCTCTTTTTCTTTTTTTTTAAATGTATTTTTATTGATTTCAGAGAGGGAGCAAGAGAGAGGAAAAAAACATCAATGATGAGAGAGAATCATTGATCAGCAACCCAGACATGTGCCCTGACCTGGAATCAATTCACAACCCCCTGGTTCGTAGGTCAGTGGTCAACCACTGAGGCACGCCGGCCAGGTGATAACTAGTCTTAATAGTTAGATGTAAATAGCTTTAAGTGTAGGCAATTTATCTGAGACCAAGAGTTCAGCCTCTGTGACTATATTCTAGCAATATAGTCACTGGGGTCCTTTGTTTAAATATTGTGTTATTTTGTTCAAAGCTCAAAGTAATCATGCTCAATTATTTTCTGGTTGAATGTTTGAGCCTGCACACTAATGTTTCTCTCTCTCTTTTTAAAAATATATTATTATTGATTTCAGAGAGGAAGGGAGAGAGAGAAAGAGGTAGAAACATCAATGATGAGAGAGAATCATTGATTGGCTCTTTCCTACATGCCCTCTACTGGGGATGGAGCCCACAACCTGGACATGTGCCCTGACTGGGAATCGAACTGTGATCTCCTAGTTTATAGCTTGACACTCAGCCACTGTGCCACACCTACCAGGCTCTATATCTCTTTAATGTCTTCATTTGGGCTTCATTAACTCTCCTTTCGCATTTCTCTGGTTGTTTTTAGATTATTTTCCAATCAAATCTATTTTAAAGCAACCAACGTGCATACGTTGTACTAAGAGTTAAAGATATAAAATGACCCTCTTAATTGAAATGAAACCAGCAAATTATTACGAAAATAGTGTTTGCATTTAAGGAATTCTTTGGTTGTTTTTTTTTTGTCTTTTGGGGGTCTTTTTTATTGCTTTTTGTTGTTATTGTTTTCCTTTAATCTGTAGGATAGTGCATAGTTCTTTCCACTAATTTATTTTGGAAGAGTCATTATGATCTTACCATCTGGTAAAAGTAGATTTGTTAATAGTGGATTCTCTCATTGTATAGAGAAGAGAATAGAGGCCTAATAGGTTCCAGGACCCAATTCTAATGTGTATATGTAGGCTTCCCTACATCAACAAACAAGCCTGGATGCCAGCAGGCTGTCCAAGAATTCAGTTTAGTGTGGCATTACTAGTATCTACCCTACCCAGAAGTAGACTCAGATTCCACAGGTAAAGGGCTCAGTCTCATAAGACTACCCTGCACTTTAGAGGCTGGTTACAAGCCTAGGTTGTTATCTGTACTTCTGACCTACTGGCTACAAATCAGAAGTTCCCACAACCCCCTTCTCGGGTTCCAATGACTCAGAAAACTCAAGAAAACATGTTTACTCAGTAGATTAACAATTTATACAAAGATTATTAAAAGATACAAATCAGCAGCCAGATGAAGAGATACATAAGGTAAGGTCCCAAATGAAGGACCTTCTATCCTCACGGAGCTTGGAGCCCAGCACAATGGCTCATGGAAGCATTCTAGTACCCCAATGTGGAAGCTCTCTAAAAAAGGACCAAGGGGCTGTCCTATGGTTTTTATGGAGGCTTCATACTTAGTCATGATTGATTAGGTTTTTGGCCATTGGCAATTAATTTAACCTCAAGCCCCTCTCTCCCTGCAAGTCAGGAAATGGGACTAAAAATTTCAGTCTTCTGACCATAGCGTTGGTCTCTGCTGGCATCCAACACCCACTCTTGGGAGTCCAAAAGTTATCTCCTTAATATAACAAGAGGCACCACTCTGCTCCCATCACTTAGAAAATTCCAAGGAAGGTTGACATTTCTGTGTCAGAAACAGACCAAATATATATTATAAATCACAAGATCATATGTCTATGTTTCAATAAAAATATAGATAACTAAATTATAGTTTAAGTGAGAATATTTCAGGTTGATATGGCCCCTCTTTTTAATTTGACAGGGATGAACACGCTTGTTGGCTATGATCTGGTTCCAGAACCCAAAATCATTGATGCTGCTTTGCGGGCATGCAGACGGTTAAATGATTTTGCTAGTGCTGTTCGCATCCTAGAGGTTGTTAAGGTCAGTGAAATAGTATTAAACTTGTTCTGAAAGTATGTGGTCTATTGACTAGGTCAATATATTGTTTATTTTTTAATTTGTTAAGATAACCTAAAATTAGTTCTTATATAGCTAGAGGGAATTTACAGTGCAATTAATAATTTTTCTGGAATAAAGTTTGACAGAATTTATCCCAGGCCTGAAAAATTGTGCTTGATACTCTTTTGTTCATCACTTCCATTTAAGAATTTATCTTAAGCATGTACAAAGGTTTAACTATTATTTATCTTTGTGCTATTTGTGATAGGAAATTAAATGCTGTTAGTAGTTTCTTAAGATGAGACTTTCCAGAAGTGGTTATTACACAAATGTGTTTAACATTAAACATATTTACATTAAACATATTTATTGCATATTACCTGAAGAAAATTATGAGATAATTTTTGTGGTGTGACCCCGTTTTATTAAAATACATGTAGATGAAAATGTAGGTGGACATATTCTCCCTGTTTAATTATAGTTTCTGTTTTTTTATAATTGCAAATTAAATACATTACATTTTAAGTAAGAACTTTATAATTTAAAAAATATAACTAAGGAGATTTAGAATTTGTCAAAGGCAGAAGAATAGCAGTTTGGCAGTATCTAAGTCCATTTGACTTTTTAATATATGTTATGGTGAGTATTCATGAAAACTCTTACCCTGAAAATAAGTATTCTCTAAGTGTATCTCTCCATGAAAGAATATGGAATATAAGAAAGAAATTCAAGGTCTATAAAAAAGAAAGTGTGAGATTACTTTATCTACAATGGATAAGATAATTTAGGGTTCTGTAGGCTGTCAATTCATTCAGCACCAGTAGTTAATTCACTTAGGGTCTCAAATTAGAAGCAAATGTAAAAACTTTTCCTCTGTTAACTTAATTATTCCTATTGCCTGCTGGGCATGTTTAATTACATCAAAATTCTGTCATCACCACCTTGTTTTCCAGTAACTCAGGCTTTGAAAAAAAGTATTTCTGGATTTAGTCTAATTGTTTTAGTTATTTTCTTTTTTTAAAAAAAATATATTTTATTGATTTTTTACAGAGAGGAAGGGAGAGAGATAGAGAGTTAGAAACATCGATGAGAGAGAAACATCGATCAGCTGCCTCCTGCACATCTCCTACTGGGGATATGCCCGCAACCCAGGTACGTGCCCTTGACCGGAATCGAACCTGGGACCTTTCAGTCCGCAGGCCGACGCTCTATCCACTGAGCCAAACCGGTTTCGGCTGTTTTAGTTATTTTCAAAGTGTCTTTAAAAACCTACCTTGACTACTGCCCACAAAGTTTCTCTCTTTATTGAACAAATATGTTAACTTAAAAGTAGCCTCTGCATATGTGATTAAAAGCATTTTCAAGTTCATTTTGTAAATAGATAAGGCTTCTCAGAGAGGTAAATGTGAATTTTCTTCGTTTTTTTTTGCCATCAGGACAAAGCAGGACCGCATAAGGAAATCTACCCTTATGTCATCCAGGAACTTAGACCAACTTTAAATGAACTGGGAATCTCCACTCCAGAGGAACTGGGCCTTGACAAAGTATAAACCCCATCGGTAAGCAACATACCACTGAATAAAGCAGGAAAAAATCCAGGGAAATGTGAATGAGTGACATTTCAGTGTTCTCAGAAATGTCTTGTTAGAGGCTGTAAGCATAGAGATTTAGAGTACCAATGATAACTTTAAGGAGCTAGGGTTGTTATTTTTTAGGTGTTATAATTGTTCTCTTATTGGTGTAAAGGCAAGTAGAAACATCCTTTACAAAAAAATCTATATAAAATATTTTAAGCATAAATAGCATAGAATAAATGTAATCACACCCAGATTTTCGGATATTATTATTTTGCCATATTTGCTTTAATCTCCTCCCCTCTATCCCACCAAGAAATTATTGGTTTCACCTAGAGTTCAAGCCCTCTGGGTACCCTTCCCTCATTCCAGCCCATTAACCTCCAAAAAACTAAAGGTAGTTCACTGCATTCAAAATGTTTATCATGTATGCTTTTTAAACTGTGGTTTGTTGTTGTTTTTATATTTTTATTGATTTCAGAGAGGAAGGGAGAGGGAGAGATAGAAGTATCGACGATGAGAGAATCATTGATCAGCTGCCTCCTGCACATTCCCTATTGGGGACCAAGCCCAAAACTTGGGCATGTGCACTGACCAGTAATCGAACCGTGACCTCCTGGTTCATAGGTTGACACTCAACACCTGAGCCACACCAGCTGGGCAACGTGTGTGTTTTTTTTGTTGTTGTTTTTTTAACAGTAGGGTTTTATTAATTTGATGCTTTTTTGTGTGTGCCCAGGTTAGAATTTAATAGTCAAGTAAATTTTCATCAATAATAAAAACTTATTCTCTATGGAAAGACAGATTAGGTAATAAAACCAGCCACAAGGTTGTCTAGGTAGTGAGCACTGTGCAGAAAATTCTTTGTAAAACAGAAAATATAAAAGCAGTAATTCATATTTTAATTTTATTTAACAAACATGTATAGTGTATATAATTCTTTTTTGCTAATTCTCACCCGAGGATATTTTTCCCATTGACTTTTTAAAGAGAGTCGGGGTGGGGGGGACACATCTACTGGTTGCCTCCCGCAGGTGCCCAAATCCTGGGATTGAACCTACAACCCAGGTAGGTGCCTTTGAAGGGGAGTGGAACCCAAGACCCTTTGGTGTGCTGACCGAAGCTAACCACTGAGCACACTGGCCAGAGCAGTGTATATAATTCTTGACGTGTGTCAGGCACAATTTATATATATTAAATTGATTTCAGAGAGGAAGGGAGAGAGAAGTAGAAACATCAGTAATGGGTGAGAATCATTGATCAGCCATCTCCTGCATGTCCCTTACTGGATTGAGCCTGCAACCCTAAGCATGTGTCCTGACCAGGAATTGAACCATGACCTCCTAGTTCAGAGGTGGTTGCTCAACCACTGAGTCACACCCGCTGGGCTCAGGCATAGTTTTAAGTGCTATATAAATAGTAGCTCATTTAATCCTTACAAACAATCCTGTGAGGTGGTTACTATTATTATAATTATTCCTATTTTATTATTTATTGATGATCAAACTGAGGCACCTTGTCCAAAGTCTACATTTAAACCCAGGCAGACTGGTTTTAGAGTTCATTGCACCCACTATGCCACATGTTCTGTATAAGAATTTACTAAGGCCATACTCTTCTCAGAGGTAAAAAGTGAGACTTAAATAAAAGTGGACCCAAAATTATTTTAGAAGCTATTAAATATCCTGCTGATAGACTAAGCAGAAAATGTAATCTACTTTGGGGCTTGTTTTTTGGAGCATACGTCTTAATTTTTGTTTTTGTCCACAACCTCCACCTCCCTGAATTCAGGTAGCTCATCTTTATAATATGGAAAGTTTTTGTATGATATTAAACATTTCAGTGAGTACTTGGAAAAAATTAGGTATTTAGAATAGAGGATTTTGTAGTTATATATATATTTTTTTTTTAATCTTTTTTTTTAATGGATATTTTTTCCGTTGATTTTTAGTGAATGGAAGGGAGGGGTAGAGACAGAGAAAAAAATTGATGTGAGACACATTGATTGGTTGCCTACCGCACAGGCCCAACTGGGGCCGGGGATGGAGCCTGCAACTGAGGTACATGCCCATGACCGTAATCAAATCCTTGGGCCAACGCTCTAACCACTGAACAAACCGGCTAAAGCCCTAGTTATATTTTAAAAGCTCTTATCTGTGGTTCATATTTCATAATGAATTCTTAAAAGGTTGTCTAAACACTTGGGCTTAATTTTTATTTTATCAAATACTAGAGGCCCGGTGCATGGACCCCAGTGGAGTTCCTCAGCCTGGCCTGTTTCCTCTTACAATCTGGGACTCCTTGGGGGATGTCGGACTGCCAAGTTTTGGCCTGATCCCCACAGGCCAGTCTGAGGGACCCAACCGGTGCATGAATCCATGTACTGGGCCTCTCGTATGCATATAAAATCTTTGGTTAACTCTTCCTGCCCTCCCCCCTTCCCTCTGAGATTCATCAGTCTGTTCCATGTTTCCATGCCTGCGCATTGAGTGTCTGCCTCCTGGTGGTCAGTGCACATCATAGCTACCAGTTGAACAGTCCAACGGTTGCTTAGGCTTTTATATAGCTATATATAGATAGATTATTGCAAGAAATCCAGAAGATTTTTGTTATAGAGGATGTATTCTTGCTACAGTAACATGTTTCTTTAAAGATTTCTACCTTTACTTTATTACCTGGCTAATTCTTCATGTTTTCTCTTACAGATAGGATTCCCAAGGATTTACTGATAATACTACTTGAGTGTAAACAATCACCTGGAAATACTGATGATAACATATTACCTTATTTGAACAAGTTTTCCTTTATTGAGTACCAAACCATGTAATGGTAACTTGAATTTTAATAAAAAGGAAATGAGTTTGAACTGAAATTAGGTATTGTTCCATGTGTTTGCATTGAAGAGCAGAAAATGAACTATTTATTATAGGTCCATTGTGTCACAGTTTTGTTATCCCCTTATGTGCTGAAAGAACTTTAATTTTCTGGAAGTCATTGCTATATAAACATATTTGGGTACACAGACTGGTAAAATAGCTAAAGGCTAAAAGTCATTTGTATAGAACTAGAGGCCCGGTGCATGAAATTCATGCATTGGGGGCGGGGTGTCCCTCAGCCCAGCCTGCACCCTCTCCAATCTGGGACCCCTCAAGGGATGTCCAACTGCTGGGACATCCCTCTCACAATCTGGGACTGCTGGCTCCTAACCACTCACCTGC